TATATGTTTTATAAACTAATTTCGTTATGAAATACTACTGCAAAGCATCTAATTTTCTCAACATATGCCCAATTTTTTTCATAAGAAATACTACCGTAAAGCCAGTATGTATTCCTAAATTTCAGCTTATCTGTTTTATAAACTAATTTCGTTATGAAACACATAATTATTGAATTCACGCACTGAATTTGTAATAATTAAAATAAACAAGTTAAAAGCATTTTTTCGGCCAGATGATTGAAGTTACCGTAGAGCATCATCTTAACCACTTTTTCATATGACTTTTTTCATATCTTATAACATATAATTTAAATATCATTCTTTCCTAATATAGTAGATTCAATCGCTTGAGCCATAATCACATTATTTGGTGTAATTCTTGAATTCACGCACTGAATTTGTAATAATTCAAATAAGCAAGTTAAAAACATTTTTTCGGCGAGATGATTGAAGTTACCGTAGAGCATCTTAGCCACTTTTTCATATGACTTTTTTCATATCTTATAACATATAATTTAAATATCATTCTTTCCTAATATAGCAGATTCAATCGCTTGAGTCATAATCGCATAATTTGGCTTGATGTGGTTTGATCTAAGACTAAAATCAGTCCAATAACAAAGTCCTTAAAGTTACACAAATAAATTGGTAATTGTATTAAATTAAAATTGAAACAAAGCTAATGAATATATTTTAAATAAAAAACCAAATAAAATAATGCAAAGTAATTGGATCGAAAATTTCAAATGTAGGCTTTTTAAATTTGATTTCTCATATGCATGCCGATTATTTTTAGTTGATAGAGGTCATTAACTTTATAAAATTTTAGTAACCGTTTAGTGACTCTGTTTTTCGGCTTATCAACCAACTTTTTAACCAAACATGTAACTTTTGATTTTGCGCGCTGAATTGTGTAATAATAAGAAAATTAAGGTTGAAGTTACTTTTCAGACTGTATTAACTGAAGTTGTTGTAGATGACCATTTTATCTATTTTTCATATCATTCCTTTTTTATTTTATTAATATAATATATTTTAAATATAATTTTTCATAATCACCAGAAACAGTTAATACAGCCACTTCGGTCAGAACTTCATAAATTTCGGTAGAATCAGTCGATTCAGTCGATTTCAGTGTTTCCAAACGGGCTCTAGTTGATAGTGGACATTTCTTTAAAATATTGGAATATCTTTAAAATTGTTGTATATGTTAACTATGAAACGTTATGCTATTTTAATATTTTACTTCTTCTTTTTATTATTTTTTTATTAATTAGAGTTACATTACAGTAGGGACCCCGTGATTCTGAGTTTCTGGGTCCGTCACTGTACACACCATCGGCCATGGCGAGTTCATCCGCAAGAGTGCGAAGGTGATGAAGATATTCACTGACAGGTTGCGAGCCTTGTTTCATATGGTGGAACTTATCTTTGAGACTTCGAATTTTGGAGGCTGACCGAGTCCCATATAGACGCTCCAGGGTCTTCCACACGGAGGCAGAGGGTTTGGAAGATCCGACTAGTGGCTTGCAAGCTGAGCTGAATAGATTGAGACTAAAAAGCTTGATTCATTCAACAATATGATATCCTATTTATACAACCTTTTAGAGACTAATATGATACCCTGAGAGACTTCTCTGCTTTCTTTTGTAGCCATGACAGATGCTCCAAAAGGTATACGTAAGGAAACTGGCCGGTTAGAGCTCTAGAGACTCTGATACCATATTAAAATTTAGAATAGGAATGGATTAAGATTGAAAAGCTTGATTCATTTCACAATATGATATCCTATTTATACAACCTTTTAGAGACTAATAGGGTAGGCTACTACTAATAATAATATTAAATACAAAGATTTGTAACTCATATTATTAAATACAAATATTTCTAATTTATTGTGTAACTTATGTAACGGTTCTCTAGAGCTGTCTAGACTCTTATATAATTAGTACACCTCCGTGTTTGTGGGAGGTTTTTTTCGTGAATCCGAGTTCACACAAAACCGGGTTGTTCTGTCTGTGGAAATTATACAGACAAAGCAAGTCAGTTTTTGTCTGCCGATTGGAATTCACGGACAAAAAAACTCTCTCAGATACGGAGTTGTACTGATGTGTATAAGAACATGTACAAAAGGAAATTTTCTTGTAAAATTTTGGTATGCACAAATATATTCCCTTTGTCACTTAAAATTTTGTCAAATTTGATTATGAGGATTAATAAAGTAAAAATTATGTGGTTGAGGTTTGTACAGAGTAGAGAGAATTAAGTGGAAGCACAAATTCTTTACTTAAAAAGAAAAGTAACAAAGTTAGTGGGACATCCATAAAAGGAAAGCTCATAAAGTTTTAAGGGACATCTAAGAAGGGGGCTTAGATTGATATCACCTCATTCACATGGGGGTTAAAACAACAAAAGAACCATGTGTAACCATCATCCCTTAAATCAGACCCAGAGTTAACCACCTTTGACAAAGCAATATATCTCGTTGGTCCTGAATTGGGCATAACTGAGCCAAAAAAAGTTACCGCAGACCTCTCATCACTCAATCCTAATGCAAGAGTCTTACAACATAAAAGCAATTGAAAGCAAACAACAACAATCTGAAAGTGGAAATAAAAAACAAAAAATGCAAAGAAATAAACACCATAACTAGTCCTCCTGAGCAGAATCACCAGTCGCACGTCTGACGGGTCTAGAGGCCCGGACCCGCCGCCTCCCCGCTTTTTGGATTGTCTAGAGACATATTATCACCTGCTGGGTCCTTTTGTGACCGATTTTCCCATATCCTTCTGCGCTTTTGATCCCCCGGTACCTCCTCAATGTTGCCCATGTCTCGTTCCTTGGTCACACTGTTAATCACTGTTCTAAAAATCGGCCTAGACGGCCTAGGCGGCTAGACCTGTCAACGGGTCGGGTATGGGCCGGAACGTAGTATCCTAGACCCGGACCCGTTCACCTCTATAGGGTTCCAGACCCGACCCGTATACCCGACGGGTCTAGAACTAATGTTCCGGACCCATACCCATTGGGTCTCGGAACCGGGTCGGGTAGACCCGACCCGTCTCATGAAAATCCAATTCTAATTTCTTAAAAAAAAACAGAACCTCTTACTACCGAGTACTTTTCTGGCAACAATATGGCACATGAACTGTAATTACGTGTCTGTAATTACTCAATCAAACGCAACAATTTTGAGTTGGTTTATAATTTGCAAGATACGTAGTGTTAGAATAAAGAGTAAAATTAATGGCTTTGGAAACTTGACAGGTTTTTTCTTGAATCCTCTGCGGTGTGCGTACTCTAGGGTCTCTAGGGATCCTTCTTTGGATTTATTAAGCTAAATCGTAATGTGGGCGGCAGCTAATGTAATATGTATATTAGACTAATGTATATATATATAAATAAATATTAACGGGTCGGGTCCTAAACGGGCCAGAACTACATATACCATACCCGACCCATTAAATAACGGGTCCGGATCCGAGTCCGGGTAACGGAATTAAATGTAGACCCATACCCATTAAAAATAGACGGATCCGGGTCGGGTTTGGGTCTGGACCCGATCCATTGACAGGCCTACAGGCGGCCCTAACCGAGGAACACTAATTGGCCTATTCGGGCTAAAAATCAGCCTAGTCGGCCAAAAAATCGACCTAGTCGGCCGCCTAGGCGCTAGGCGCCCTTCAACCGCCCGACTAGCGCCTAGCGAGTTTTAGAACAATGCTGTTAATTGTACCCGTTGTGGAATCACGCCAGCCCTGCCCCCCTATCCATTCACCTTCCTAACCTACTTTTCTCTGTTGCCTAACAATCCATAAGCTTGAGGAGTTTTCCACTATCCACTTATTACCTCCCGTAGGACAAGTCCTCACCCCTCCACCTGCTCGAAGTTCTACCCCAAATGTTTTTACCAACACTATGTCTTCCTCGTATTTTAAGGGACAAGATTTATCAGAATGCCCAATCACCCCACAAATATGGTAAATTTTTTTACTCCAGGGGGTCTGGGGGAGGGAACCTGGGGGGGGGGGGGGTGAGTAATCAAGGCTGAAACTCAGTCCATTGATTTTCAAACCCTTATGTGTCTAGCGGGTTTCGAACTTGAGACCTCCCATTAGACACGGTAACCTCACAACCAGCTGGGCTGGAATGCTTGGTTATACGGTAAATAGTAGATAGATACCTTTTATCGTCTATTTCTTTGATGAAGCCAACAAATCTTTGAAGACTTGAAATTTGATTTTTTGGTCAATGAGGACGACTCCAACCACCGGGAATACCTCATTCCTCTCGACAACATCAACCCCTCTGCCTTCCTCATCATCGAAATTCGGTTCACCGTCCTCCTCTCCAATAGCCATCTGTTTGTAATGGTTCACGATTTCATCCATCCGAAACGCCTCTGCTTTGCACCGGAATCTCCGCCTCGCTAAATGAAACAAAGCAACTAGGTAACGTCGCCACCCGCACCCACAAAACACATCTCCTCCGCGCGCTGGTCTGGCACCACACGGGCACCAACGAGCCTTCGAGATAAACAATGGCCGTACTCCGACTATGTCGAAAACGGAAGAAACAAGCTATAGCGGCCGGAACCCTATAGAGAGAATTCCAACAAAAATGTGTTTGTTGGACTCAATTTAGAATATTGGGGGTGACATTGTTGAAATGACTAAATATTTTTTAGGAACATTGTTGAGTGAAAAAGATTATTTGATAGAGTAAATTTATTCCGAGATAAAAGAATTAGTATTATCAAACATGCTCTACAATTCTATGACTAGATTTGGGCTGCTTACAGCTGGACCAACTGTTATATGTTTTGTAGGCCATTCAGCATTTGGGTGGTCCTAACTAGTGAGTGATTACGGATAATACGATCCCAGTAGAAACAGCCCAATAACAATAGTAATTAGTAATTACGGAGCAAACGAATTGGCGGGAATTCTGCACATGTCAAATCCCAAACCCATTAAAATACATTTTCCCGCTCGCTCATTCCACCCTCTCTCTTTGAACCATTTCTGCAAATCCTCACGTTTTCCTTCTCTTCTCATACCTCTATCCCCTCATGCGCATGCGTTATTACAGCTTCAGATCTAATCGGTAATGGAGGCTCGACATCCCAACTCAGAACTCAATCAGCCTCTTGCCGGCGGCGCAGCCCTAACGGACTCCCAAAAGGCATGGCATGTTTTCGCATTGCTCCTGGCAACTAAGCGGCCTGCCCTCCCAGCAGAGATCGCGAGCATCTGCACGCTTTACAATGCTACTCCGGATCTGATTGAGTATCTTTGCTCGATCCCTAATTCGCCACTCCATTTAACTCCAGATTCCATCGTCACGTTCTCTTCTGTCGTGTACTTGACGTTTGCTAAATTTATTGCGTATGTGAACGTAATTGCGGCTGTTTCTCCTGGCTTGAATTTTGAAGACCGAACGCTCAGGGGAGCTGTTGGCTGTGAGTTGAGGACTTATTTGAGTACTAAGAGAAGGCTGAGATGGAGACCGGACGGGTTACCTGTGTTAAAAACGAGAAGAACATCAAATAGCTGTTGTGATATGAAGAGTAAGCATTAATGTCTTTTTTAATATTTTTTATTGATTTAGGATACATTTTTCTTTATAATATCAACTGAAGTTTTAAACTGGTATTTTGCAGTCCAGAAAGAAGATCACGTGGTTATGACATTGCCGTTTGAAATGCTGGATGCATACGCTAAGGTAATTTGGTTTGATTGATTAGTTAAAGTTATGTTGCTTCTTACTTGAGTATTTTTCAGCATTTAAACTCTTTTTTGCAAGTGAGCTGCGAAACTAAAATAGTTGGATTATATTATGCATTACGATGTGCGTTTCTATGTCATACACACTCAAATGCCTCACCGCACTGTAAATCTTCAGTATCAATTGTCTAGCTAGATTTACCATGGATTGTAAATGTAAATCAGTAGAATTTGACTACTTGTTAAGGTTAATGTTTCATATTTTTCACTTTGGTTCTAAAAAAATGTAAAACATAATATTGTTTATGGTGAAAACCTTTAGATAAAACTGGTATGAAATGGTGAGAGGACAAAATAAAATAATGCGCCTAAAATGAATAGTGATGTGTTCTGGTATTACTCATTAGGAGGTCGAAAATAGGCCTTTTGAAACCTGTTACATGTTGCTTCTTATCATCCAATTAAACCTTATAGTCTCCCCTCATCATTGCCCCCACCAATACTTTGTATTATTCATATATATTTAAGCTTTGCTACAATAAACAATCCAATAGTAATTAAGTCCTGGGATACAATACTTATACAGGAATATTTCCAAGTCCAAGATGACAATTATAGTGGGGTGATGACCAATGATATATGGGGACCATTGTACTTCTCCTCCAACTACAGGGAATTGGGGAGAGCATTTAATACTCCCTGCACCTTCTATGAAAACAATGAGGCTTCTAGATATGGATTTGAAAGTGCACAACATAACGATGAACCAATGCTAGATGCAATGCAAAACAGAAATGAAGTAGACACTGCACATAAGACTGTGGCTAAAGCTGATCTCATGTTTGATGATGCGATTTTTTCGCATTTACACGAACGAGTGGAGAAAGAGGAGAAACATTCAAGCCCTAATTTAAAGCCACTTCAGTTGACTGGCATTCTCGAAAATAAGATAGAAAGTGTAGAAGTGGAGGCGTATGATAATATTAAGAGCAGAGTAAACTCCGACGCAACTTCTTGCTTTTTAGCTCTACAGACTCCAGTTGAAGTACTTGAACCATTCTCTTGCACTGTCAGCAAAAGAAAAGGAATCAACCCTATACCAGACAACCCAAGTGACAGAGAGAAGTCTGCTGAAGAGCATCATAAAGTGAACACTGCTATTAGAGGGGATGACATGTTAAATTATTTATCTGAGAACGAAGCCGAAGTGCCCCAGGTAAGTCATGGTATGTTAGAACAGGAGCCATCTCTTGTCGGGATGCAAATAGAAAAGTGTTCTCACAACCCAGATAATGTGCATGAGGATCCCTTGATTACTTCCGAGAAAACTGTGTGCAAGCCACTGGATAATAGTGCACATCTCAGACATCAAGAGAAGGATCAGATTAATAGAGGCATAAAACCTATATCTGCAAAGAAAAAGCTAACTTATAATCATGAAAAGCTTTTGGATAATACAAAAAAGAATGAAAATCTCACAGAGAAAAGAGAAGGCGTAAATTCCACCACTTCTAAAGTAAGTTGACAGTTCAACATTCCCCCCATCGTATGCAATTTGACTGTCTTTATTTCTTTGTAAAACTGATAAACTATTTTTAAAAAATGGAAGGAGCCTATTGAGCAAAAAGAGCTTCCCAACTTTGAGTCTTTTGTAGTTGAGGAAGAAGAAGGTTCAGGTATGATGATTGGTTCCTTTGATAAATGTTTCATGGCTTTCACCCATGGTTATTTCCAAGGTTGTCATTTGGTTTCTCCAAACAAATGCATGCAGGTGGCTATGGAACAGTGTACAGGGCAAGGAGAAAAAGCGACGGAAAAAAATTTGCAATAAAATGTAAGCCAGTAATGTATTACATTTTCTATATTTTGATGCTCATTCTTTAAAATTGTTCCATACCCAAAATTGACTCAGCAAATTAACAAATAGAGTTTTCTTTGTTTTCATTACTGGTAATGCACCTTCTGGAGGAGACTCCAACACCATGTTGATATTTCATTCCTACCCTCAACTTGGATGTGAAAGAAATGTAATTTGGAAATATATACTCCAAATGTGTATGCATATGTTTTTCTGAGTTAGTCCAAGGAAAAAGATAATAAAAAAAAGAACATTGTGTACAACCAATCAACCCTTATGTAATGACATCTATAGAAACACAAAGTAACTCTAGTAAGTGGCAAGAACCACATTTTGGATCCATGAACTCACACATAACAGCTCATACTATTAATGAATTTGCAGATCCTCATTCTAATGCCAATAGACAAAACATCCTTAATGAGGTGAAGATGTTGGAGAGATTAGGGTAAGAATGTGAATACATATGATGATTTTTTCATGACTGCTTACATTTCCAACAAGTGTGTAGCCTAAACATTTTAATTATACTTTATTCCAGGGGCAAGAATTTTGTGATTAAATATGAAGGATCGTTCAAGGATGGAAATTCTGATTGCGTTGTTTTAGAGCATGTGGAGCATGACAGACCGGATGTAAAACTTCCATGTCTTTCACTAAAATTTCCTCGCCCAGTGACATTGTCAAAGTTATTTTCCTCTCATTTCAATTTTATATTTATCACTAGGTTTTGAAGAAAGAAATAGGAGTATCACAGCTCCAATGGTATGCTTACTGTTTGTTCAAGGCTCTTGCTTCTCTTCATAAGCAGGTGTGAATCAAAGAGCTTATGGCATGTTGCCACATTATGGGTCTGTTTTGGAATTCAGAAAATGCAAGGGAGAGAAAATAATTAGGAAAATACAGGGCAATATGGAATGAAAGAAAGTCTGTGGACAAATTTAAACTTGGTTCGGATACTGTAAACCAATTTTATATATTTACTTGAACTCAATTTATTTCTATTTCTATTATATAAAGACTCTGAAGCACATTTATATGTCAAACATTAAAAGTTACAGTATTTGTTTTCCTCCATATTTCCAAGATATTAAATCCTTCTTGATGGGGTTTCCTTTCCCTCCCATTTTCTGGTTTCCACATAGCCTAATTGAAAGTAAATATTATAGTTTACTGAACCTCTTATTCTTCTCAGGGTATTGTTCATAGGGATGTCAAACCTGGGAACTTTCTATTTACACGGAAGCTAAATAAAGGTTACCTTATTGATTTCAACCTTGCATTGGTGAGTAGTATTCCACATTTCAGAGCATTTTCCTCTCCAATTCCATTCTTCCCCTCTTGGATATGGTGTAAACTATTTACCATCATTCCTTGAACAGGATATGAACAAAAAATATGGAAGTGCAGGTACATCATTCATGCCTCCTTGATTTACTATCCTCTAATTATCTTTTTATTCAGGGAGGGGGGGACACCATTAGTTTAGCAGCTTTGAAGCCTAAGGTTCTGTGTTAATGAATGGGTTTGGAAGAGAAGTCTTTAGAGGTCCTAATCTGTATCTTGATACTCCATAAATATTTGAGATACTATAGAAATTGAATGAATAATATATTAGATGATTGTATTACATTTCAATTTCTTTTTTTAGGCACATTGTATTTATCAAGATATTAACTAAGGTAACATAAGCCCCCACCCCCACCAACTGAGCTGAACTAAACCTGTTAAGTTATTGAGTCAACTCAATTGCATTTTCAGAAATACTATTTGAGTGTTTATAGGTAACATAGTAGAGTGTAACTAAACAATGTTAATCTAGGAAAATTTGGCAGGCAAAACCTTCTGATTCAAAGGTCCTCCCAGGTGTACCAGATTATTTACAAATATCTTGTCATCAAATTACTCTCCACACGAGTTGAACTCAAATTGAAGTATTGAACATTGAAAAGTTTAGATTCTCAAACCAAACAGATCATAACGGTCTTTTTGGATGGAGGGGTTTAAGTGAAATTGTCTTGGAGCATTTAGTACTCTGTCTTGATTTATACTCTGTTTGAGATCTAACAAGAATGAGAAGATATATGCAACATATGACTGTACAACAATTTGTTAATCTTTAATTTGTGCTTAGAGACATTCTATTTATATCAAGAAACAGACTAATGTCCAAAGCTCTCCCTGAATCAGTCCAAACAGACTTTGACAGCACTTTGTTCGTGCGGTTATCCTGGTGCATTCTTAACTTGATGATGAACATGTTTTAAACCTACAGATAAAACAAATTTGGGACCTTGTACTGGCTTGGAGGGAACTCATATTGGCCTTTCTAAATCTTTCCTTTCAAATAAAGGTAGAAAAGAAGCAGCCAATCATGAAACTACTTCTAAAGGTATCAAGAAAACAACTTTGCAGCTTAAGAATACGAAAAGGAAGGATGACTTGGAAAATGGGAGGAGTATAGTAAAAAGCCAAGGTGCTGATGGATCGGGAATAACTTCAGCAAAGGAAGCAACAAGCACCAGAAACCCATCCAGAGAGGCTCTTCAATGCCAACCTCTACCATCCAAAGGTAGAAGACAGCTTATCAGTCTAGTTGAAGCAATGCAAAGTGCAAACCATCATAAAGAAGAACTAAAGGGTCCCACTTCTAAAAGAAAGAGGATTGCAGCACCCCCCGGAAAAGAAGACAGACACCAGTTCATTTATATAACTCCCATGCCGTTGCGTTCTTCTGGAGTAGCCATTCAAGGTGCTGGGTTTCTCAAGGGTAATAATAAATTTAATCTTAATATATATCTGTTTATGGCGTGGTACCATGTTTATTATGCATGACCTTGTGCTCTACTTCTAGGTGATGGAAAGCAAAAGCGAGACGGCTCTTGTGTCGGTACAAAGGGTTTCAGGGCTCCAGAGGTTTGTAATTGATTTAACATGCTCCTCTTGTTGCAAATATTCACAATATGTTGTTTCTCCATTGGGTATTTAAGCATGTTTGAATCCTGGAAAATTTTACGGAAAAAAGAAAAAAGGTGAAAAGAAAATTTGTTTTTCTTATGTATGGTTTCACTTTAGAAAATGCTATCCGAAGTTAAATACGATTAATGTTTTTTTTCCCAAAATTTACATATAATTAAATATCATTGTATTTATATACTAGATATGATAAAAAATACGTAGTATTAGATATGATTAAATAATTTTTTGAAAAATATCTAAAATAACCTTGTTGAGTTTGAACTGTATCTTTTACTTTCCGCAAATTTGTATTTTCTTTCAATTTCTTTGAGTGGTTTTTTTGACAATTTAAACAAAATCTTGGGCTATGTTTGGACTTTAGATTCTGGTAAATACGCACACAACTAAAAAAGTAATTTTCTTATTTTTGGATTTTAATCGTGGTTAGAATTCATAGTATTTATATATATCATCGTCGCCTCAATGCCTCAAATGCTCCCACCTACGATGGGGTAAGAAAGGTTGTATGTACGCATCCTTACTCTTACCCCTGTACTAATTGTACTTATATATGATAGTGATAAAGTATTAACCCTTAGAGAGAAGTGAGAGCTGGAGAGAGAAGTGCAATAAATATGCAATTAAGGTATTTGTCAACCCCTAAAACTACCCTCAAGGAGAGTATTTATAGGGAAAATATGGTCTAAACTCCAAAGTCTTTAGCTTGGGAGGTCCGATTACAATTTACAATAGGCCTCTATTGGACTGAATACAAAGTATGTAAATTGGTTAAGTATGAAATCTGGCTCTGTGAGCTCTCTGTGGCCGACATAGGTCTGGCTGTCAGAGACATGACCGACAGAGACATGGTCGACGGAGACCCGGCCGACGGTGACACCCCGGTTCTCCTGTCTTCTTTATCATATTCTGAGTTGATGTCTTTTCAGCCGATGCAGGGCCATCTGTCCGACGTAGGACCCACTAGGTGACAGTATGTGGATCATAGGGTCTGGACCCGTATACTCTATCAGATAGTAATAAAATATTTAAAATACAAGCATTGAGTTTAAAACAATGTTCCGTATTTCCTGTATGTTTTTTTTTTCATTCAGAATGTACCCTTAAATATAAAGCAGTCATCTGACTTTTTGAGTTTAGGTCGACAATTGCCATATACTTCTGAAGTAGTGAGCCTTAATGAGACGTTTCTTCTGTTCAGGTATTATTTAGATCTCTACATCAAGGCACCAAGCTTGATATATGGTCAGCTGGTGTTAGCTTACTATATCTAATGACTGGGCGGAGCCCTTTTGCTGGAGACCCTGATCAGTGAGATTACACTCTTTCCAACATAATTTTGTGTTATTTGCCTACATGGGCATATGGTAGTTACTGTCTTACTGATCCCATAACTCACAACAAACCTATACTGTTTTGCTGGCTTCGCAGGAATATAAGGGAGGTAGCCAAGTTGAAGGGCAGCGAGGACATGTGGGAAGTGGCCAAATTACACAACCGTGAATCGTCGTTCCCTCAAGTACTAAGCCCTCTTCCCTCCCACCTCAATATTTTCTAGTGGTTCTTACTCTAGCCAATATTTCAGAGTCCAGATAGGTTTCCATCTTAGACCCGATATCTAGACCGGGATCATTTGGGATTAGTTGGGAACTTGGGGTATAATGCTATTCCGATATGTAAGTTAACTTATAGAATTGTCCCTCCATCAGTTATGTTTGGCTAAGGCAACTTACTACCTTCCTCCTGTAGAGCTTTCTTTAAACATTACTCCCTCCCTCCGGTAACAATGGTACAAGATAAAGTGACATGTAAATCAATAAAAAATGATTTATGTGGTTGATATTGAATTGATAAAGTAAGAATGATTTAGAGCCACACAAACTTTTCTAAATTTGGTATGAGATGATCTTAGTGGGACGGACAAATAAAGTAAAACGGGACAATCATAGCGGGACGGAGGTAGTATTAATTTAGGAATGATAGAATATTCTGTAAAGTTCAAGAAACAGTGCATTCGTTTAGTGCGTTGTTTGGTGTTAGACTTAAAATTATGAAGAATACTACTCCGTATTTGGTGATTTAGTTAATTTATGAAAACCATGAATGAGATAATCTTCTTTATAAAATGTAAGTTACAAATTAACTTGACTTGGTCATGAGCTTTTTTACCCAATTAGTGGTAGTTGAATTAGGCCGGCGGGTGGCTTAAATGTGAGACAAACATAGGCGGGTGGTCAAGTCGTCGATGAAGGGCTATCTATAGTCTAGGTGGAGATATTTTCATATTACAAGTTCTAACAGAATGCCATTATGAAACAGGACCTCTTCGATGCAAAATGCTTACCTTCGGTCAAACTACAAGACTGGTGTAAAAGGAACACGCGGAGAGCAGATTTTTTTGACGCCATTCCAACGTCTCTTTTTGACCTGGTGGATAAGTGTTTGACGGTTAACCCGAGATTGAGGATTAGTGCAGAGGACGCCCTTCGACACGACTTCTTCGTTCCAATCAACGAAATGGTCAGAAAACACAAGCTGTCGAGGCAAGGGCCAAGTCACACATCACCGCATATGCTTCTCTCAGGACCTGGTCAAACTCAGGCACGTGGACTAGTAGCTCTATGAAAATGCCTCCATATTTTTTCATTTTTAGATATTCTGTACAGTGGCCATTGTTATTCAGCGCAAGGCCTCTCCAGTTGATTTCATAAATGCATCGTAAATAAGGATATCTGCATTAGGTTCTTCTAAAGGATGGAGGGAAACTGGCCTCACAGTTTCATGGGAGGGTTTGCTAGACTTTGCTTTAGGTTTTTAAGAGATCCCGACAAGATGTCACATCCTTCTTAGCATTTAACTAAACGATAGAAATCATAGAATGTTCAGGCTTTTAACTTCTAATATTGAAGTGTATTTTTGTGTAACCCAGTCATTGTTGTAGAATTTGCTACAGTTTTATAATCCAATCATGGTGGATTGATGGCTAGACGCCCTATACTTGTAATACCAAAACTATATAAATATGTTATTATAGGTTATGATTGGGTGGACCCGGGCTGGTTTTGAACCGGTAGGTTGTGCTCCTTTACTTGCCAGAATTAACACTAGCAACACAAGTTCTCACTTCTCAGTCAGCTTCCAATATTTTATTTTTGTACTACGTATAATTACTTTAGCCAAGTATTTAAGTATTGTCTACCAACGTCCCACAACAAAGTATGCAGAGTGCCGCTTATCACAATGTGTTACTCCCTCCGTCCCATATTTATCTTCTGAAGTACAAATGGCACACAGATTAAGATAGTGGAAAATGTGTGGTGGAGAGTTGTGCAGAGGAAAGAGAAATGTGTAAGAATGTGTAAGAATGATTGTGAACCACAAATTCTTTGCTAAAAAGAGAAAGAAGAGATAAATTTGGGACAGACCGAAAAGGAAAATATGAAGATAATTCCGGGACGGAGGGAGTATTATAACTTTAAAAATACCAGTATAAATTAATCATTATATCATAAATAGTTCGTTAACAAACACATCCTTGATTAACCAATAAACTCTATCTCTTTATCGATTATATGTTGTTTATGAATATAAGGAAAAGTTCAAATAAAAAAACTTCTTCCCGTGCAAAGTGTGAAGATATGCACTTTTTCGTGTTCCTGTTGCACTTTTTCATGGTGGCGAAAAAATGTGATTTATTTACGAAATTGCCATCACAGTTTTGGTCAAATTTAGTGCATTTTTTTGCTCATTTTGACTTTAAGTCATTAGATGTGAAATAAATGCACAAGATCCATTCTCACTTTGAATGGGAAGAGCTCTTTGTATATATATATCTTCCAATCCATGAAGACAATATGGGGAGGAGCATCGAAGATGACCAAGAATGAAGATAGATGCACTGATGACACTGAAACATGGGAGAGTCAATTAGTCATCAAATGAATTTAAAACATGGATCAAATTCAAAACATGGATCAAATTTCTTTGTATCTATACAATTGCTCTGAGCTAATTAAATAAAAATCCAATTGAATCAAGGAAAGACAAAGAGCAAGATAAGACGTTGGCATGGAGTTGAGTGGATAACATTTTGGTGGCTTTATTTAGAATTACCCATCACGATTCTACTAGAGGGATAGGGAATCAGGAATCCATCGATCTTGAAGAAATATCTAACTAACATATATGACGTGTCACAGTTAGTTAGATTCTAGTTGATTAGTTAGCTTACTAACAACTACTAGAAACTTCTCATTTGTATGTGTAAATATTAATCTGACCGATCAATTCTAAACTACCATCAATAATGCAATTCAGTTTTCTCTTAAGCTCTATGTCTTCTTCTCCAAGCTTCTAAGTTCCATTTCTATTTCTGCAATATACTTCCGTAGCTACTGTACAAGCTTTCCACCATTATTGCTAGTCTGAAACATGATCTGTAATGGTGGTTAGAGATTTCATATGGTATCAGAGCATCAGTCTCCTTCGACAGATAAGTGAATTTCATCTTATCAATTTTCTGGAATCTTAATCTACTGATTTTCAATATGCCGGAAACAAATTCAGATTCAAGTCTACACTCATCTCATAATTCTCAGAGTTATGATTTCTTTGATGATCCACTCTTCCTTTCATCTTCTGATCAACCAAATCTCAGACTCGTAGACAACATGTTTGATGGAAAGAATTTCCTTTCTTGGAAGAGAGATGTTTCCATGGTTCTTGCATCCAAAAACAAATCTGGTTTTATTGATGGAACATGCCACACACCTGAGAAAACTGATAAAAAATATCATCAGTGGCTAAGATGTGATCTTATGGTCATGAAATGGTTACTTAATTCCATGAATAAGGTGATCAAAGAAAACTTGATGTACTCCAACACATCAAAATAATTATAGTCAGAATTATTGGAAAGATATGGTCAGACAAATGGCTTGGAAATTTATCAACTCAAAAAGGAAATCAGCAATCTCACACAAGAGAATCAACCTCTAATTTATTACTACAACAATCTGAAAAGAAAGTGGGAAGATGTAGATAGCCTGGATCCAATTCCAGATTGTACGTGTGGAGCACTCGATCTCTGCACATGTCAATTATTGAAACGAGTGCTTAACAGGGAGAATCAATCTAAACTCATTCAAATGTTGATGGGACTCAATTCTGGCTATGAAAATGTGAAGATTACTGTGTTGTCCATGGAACCGTGCTTCCACCCATAAACAAAGCTTTATCACTATTGCAGAAGATTGAAAGACAAAAACAAATTAGTGATGCCCTTGATGTACTCACAGAAGCAAATGCCTATGCTTCTTCATCTGCAGAAGGAATCAATAATAATAGAGTTGAAGACCAAAGGAGAGAAGGATATTGGAACACTGGAAAAAGAACTAAAATTGAAGATGATGACAATTTTGGTTATGTTGCTGCAGCTTCAAAGAAATGTACATATTGCTATCAAAAAGGACATAACAAGGAAGAATGCTATAAGTTGTACCCTGAGAAAAATCCAAGAAATAATGGATATGTTGGTCCATTCAAAAGAACTAATCCTGGAAGTAGCAATTTCAGAAAGGCTGTCAATGTTGTTGTGCTTGATTTTTCTGAGGAAGACACACCTCTGGAAGATAATGCCATGGTAACAAGTGGTGGAAATAATCTAGATACAACAACTGATATGAACGGATTCATCAACACTGTTGTTCAGCAAGTGATGAAAATCATTTCAGAAAGGGGTGCAACCTGCTCAAATGCATCTAAACCTATGCACTTTCCAGGTAAATCATCAACCTGTTCACATACCTTTTTAGTTGACAAAAACACTCACCAAGATTGGATAATAGACACTGGAGCATCTGATCATATGACATCTAATGCAAATTAGTTGCATGATGTTAAAAGTTTGAGAAAACCAATCCTGGTAGGACTTCCTGATGGCTCTATCAAATATGTCCATAAGATTAGAAATTTTCAGTTAACATAAAAAATTATTCTTAATAATGTTTTGATTGTTCTTGATTTTCAGCAAAACCAATTATCAGTTGGACGTTTGATTGAAAACACTGACTTGATTGTAACTTTCTTTCCACATGAGTGCATCATACATGACCTTTCAAATAAAATCATTCTTGGCACAACTCAAAAGAGAGGAGATCTATACCAGTTTCATCAAGATCAGTTTGTTGACCACACAAGTTTCAATGCATCTATTTCATGTAGTTCTTCTCATAATAAACATTCTGTTATGAATAAGTGTAAGCATGTTGATGTAGATATTCTACATGCTAGATTAGGACATACTTCCTTGGAGAAGATGAAACATGCATTTGGAGAAATTTGTCTGGAATAAAAGATTTTTTCTGTGAATCTTGTATTTTATCCAAACATCATATGCTACCTTTTACTAGAAGTAATTCTTATGCTAAAGGATGTTTTAATTTGTTACACATGGATGTCTGGGGACCATACAAAACCCCAACCATGACTGTAGCTAGATACTTCCTCACTATTGTTGATGATCATTCAAGAACTACATGGACATTCTTGATGCAAAATAAACAACAAGTTCCAGGATTGATCAAAGTCTTTTTTAAATACATAGAGACATAGTTTCAGACTCACATCAAGACAATTAGAAGTGATAATGGGACATAATTCATACAAGGCTTATGTGATACATTGTTTAAAGGAAAAGGGATTGTTCATCAAAGGAGCATACTAGGAAGACCTCAGCAAAATGGTAGGGTTGAGATGAAGCACAAATATTTACTTGAAACAGCAAGAACATTAAGAATACATGCTAACCTTCCCATGAAATTTTGGGGAGAATGCCTCTTAACTGTTACTTACCTCATCAATAAAATGCCATCTTCCATTTTACAATGGAAGACACCTTTTGAAATCCTTTTCAATGAACCACCAGATTACACAGAATTGAAGATTTTTGGGTCACTATGTTATGCAACCATGCCTGGTACTAACAAAGAAAAATTTGGACCAAGAACAAGGAAATGCATATTTATTGGATACCCTTTTGGCCAAAAGGGCTACAAACTGTATGACTTGGACAAACATAATGTTTTTGTTAGCAGAGATGTGAGGTTTCAGGAAGGTATTGTTTCCTTTTAAAGGGATCAACTCAATCATTAAACAACCTACGACTGATCCTAATAATGTTTTGAATCCTGCTAGCTCAGAATACATACCTACATCTCATCAAAATTACAACATATAGTCAACAATTCTCTCACACCTCACTCATCATCCCAACAACATTCTACTGGTGATATACCTGAACTCATTACCACAAATGTTCACATGCCTCCCAGTTCAGATCACATGAAGATTTCTCCTCTGATATTCAACATCATGGTAATACACTTCAAGAAATTTCAACAAGAAAATCTACAAGGAAGAGACAGTTATCAGTCAAACTTCAAGACTATCATTGTCCTCTAAAGTTACCTTTTCAAAATAATCAGAGTACTTCTACCTCTTTTCATGCTCACATGTTAAGCAATCTGACCCTTTTTTATCCTGATTATATTGCCACTTTATCCAATGTCATCAGTGAACATGAGCCAAGCACCTACAAGCAAGCTTCCAATGACAAAAGATGGGTTGCAGCAATGGATAAAGAAATTCAGGCCCTAGAATCCAATGAAACATGGGAAATGACTCATTTACATGCTGGAAAAAGAGCAATAGGATCAAAATGGGTATACAAGATAAAACATAAAGCAGATGGAAGCATCGAAAGATTCAAGGCAAGACTTGTGGCAAAGGGTTATAATCAGGTGAAGGACAAAGATTATAAACATACATTCTCTCTTGTGGCAAAGTTTACCACAGTAAGGACCATTATAGCTCTGGCAGCTATTAGAGCCTGGCCTCTCTACCAACTTGACATAAACAATGCATTTTTGCATGATTATATTGATGAAGAAGTGTATATGATACCTCCAGGAGGTTATTATAAAGAACATAGGGATCAAGTTTGTAAGTTGAAAAGGTCTCTATATGGATTGAAATAGGCCTTAAGACAATGGAACATAGAGCTAACAAAATATCTCTTGGGTCTGGGATTTCATCAATCTAAACATGATTATTCACTCTTCATAAA